GTCCCTGTTGGCTTCAGTCACTGTGTGAGGGGGCGTGCATGGTCTGGACGTGGCCTAAATTTGGGGTTCTGTCTTATAGAGCTCTGTCTCTGCAGATGGAGGGCGACGGCTTCAAACCCCAGGGAAGTGTGATGATCAGAGTCAACGAAACCACTTTCGGGGGGAGACACCCAGGGGAAGGCTCGGTCGGCATCGCTGCTCGTGATGAACAGTCCAAGAATCAGAGGAGAATCCAGGTCTCTGAGACGTTCCTTGGGAAATGGAGTCTCTTAGCTATTAGCACAGACCAAGGCATGACTTCACTTTCTTTCTGCAACAGGCACACCTCGTTTTATTGCTCTTCACTTCATTGCGTTTCACAGATGTGGGGTTTTTTACAAATCGAAGGCAAGACCCTCCATCAGCAAAAAGATTATGACTCGCCTTATTGCTGTGGTCTGGAATTGAACCCACAGTGTCTGTGAGGTATGCCTGTACTCAGTTTGTTTTTAAGCAGAACAGAAAAAAAAAATCCAATTCCCAATGCCTGGGCCAGAGTAGAGTAACCACCAGCAAAACAGCTGTTAACACGTCTGACGCTCGTTTCTGTTAACTGCTTTACTCAAGTGAAGGGCCTGGCGAGGGAGAAATTCTGGCTGGCTTAGCAAGGAGAGAAATTTCAGAGGTAGCCACCACAGATGGCAGCAGATGTCATGCAGCTCAGAGCAGAAACCACCAGGGACTTCGCCATCTCAGAGCTAAGCAAAAAAGCTGATAAATAATCAGCCACGCCAACTGCCAATTATACACCCAGAGGCTCAGGAAGCCAGGGAGGGTGTAAAAGTTGGTTTAATTAACAGCTTTCTCTTCGTCCACAACTCTGTCAGCCTGTCTCTTCAAAGACCGAGGATGCTGGCTTCAGGTAACGATTCTTACCACAGTATGCCCGTGGGGTGGAGGTATAAATGCACAATTTGCAACAATGGTATTGACTGCTCCAGTCCTAGGGTTAAAAGTGACCTTCCTAGGACTCCAAGAGTCATCAACCTCGAAGGAGCTGAGAGCTGGGAGTGACTAGAAGCCAGTCACTCAGTCCCTCCTATCACAGCGCTGGGTAGTGGTTCCCAGTGCAGGCTCCTCGCACCAGCTTGGGGCTGAATTAACAGCTCCACCAATACCTGCTGCACCACGCTGCTAGTCCTTTAAGCTCAGCGTTCTCATCTGTTAAGCAGGGATAATAGTGCCTACCTTACTGAGTGTTGCAACAATTACATTTGACATCGCATGCAAAGCACCAGGCACAGAGCACTGTGTATAATAAAAGCTCAAAGAATGTTAGCTGTCATCCCACATCTACCACAGCCCATGGTGTTTGGGTATCACCATGGTCCTCTGTGTCCTATGAACTTCTACATCTCATGGTCATACCTGTGAGAAAGTAACTCCCTCCCCACTAGGGCTTGAGGAATGGGCTGCATATCACACACCAACAATATTTTAGGAAATGGACTTGGAATAGTTTACAAACTGATTAAGGGAGGTAGGGGAGGAGGGTAACTGGCAGAGCAGGGTTTTTAGCTGTGAAACTATTCTGCATGATACTGTAATGGTGGGCACATGTCATTGTACATTTGTCCAAAGTCATAGAAGGCACAAGAGTGAACTGTAATGTAAACTGTGGCCTTTGGGAGATAATGAAGTGTGAATGCAGGTTCATTAATTGTAACAAGTGTACCCCCTGGTGGGGGATGTTGACAGTAGCAGAAGCTGTGCATGTGGGGCCAGGGATATATGGGAACATCTCTGTACCTTCTGGTCAAGTTTGCTTGAAATAAAGTCTATTCAGAGAAATAAGAAATAAAGGTTATTAAAAACTGGTGATATACACACACAAATGTACTATTGATATTGGCTCTGACAAATGTGAAAATTTAAGAAATCTAGCTCTTTATTTAACTTCAAAGCTAACATCAGTGTTTATTTAAAAAAATAATGGCACCTGCTTTGAATGGGGTGAAGATCTACAGAGGACTTACAATTTTAGGCCGACATGAGACTGTGTAGTATTCCACAAAGTGTAATTATGCAGTGGATCTCACAGTAAGCATTTCCAGTTTGTACTTTCAGAGCCACTGGCTAGCGCCCAAACACGTCTTAAACATGGAGCATGTTTTGTTGAAACGTTTCTCTTAGGACAAGCACAGAGGGAGACATGCTTTAAATAATACATAAATTAAAACTGCAACACATAAATCATTCCTAAAACAATTCAGGTACACGACTTTCCAGCTTCTTATAAACAGAGAAATTGTACTCACTTTAGAAAGTTATAGGTTAATTCTGCTTTATGTCTTATGAGTTATCAAACTCTTATAAACTACCTTTTTCTTTTAGCTTCTTAATTACTTCTGATGTAAACAGGCCAATCTCATTATTTTTTTAGAACTCTTTCGTAGTACATATACTAAACTTCTTGAAATACTTCTCTCCAGATAAAGCCCTGAATTTTAAATAATGGCACTTTATCCCACCACCGGCTCCCCAGAATTATAGAAATATGCAAAATAGGTTAATCACACATGTCCACATTAATAAGTATAATTAAATGTTTTTTTCAAACCAATACAACTATATTTGGATTCAATACAAAAAAATGTTCCCATTCAATGCAAAATAATTTGGTATTTAAAATCCAAATGAAGAGGACAAAAGTAATTAGTTGCCCAAGGGAAGCTAGTTTCCATCCCCATCACTGAACCCATAATTAAACCTGATTCACTAGAGGAATGGCTGGGCAATGCACACACACAGTGGGGCAATATTTCAATGAAAACAAGAATGACAAAGCAGGAGAGGGGCTAAAATCACACAGATGCTAAGTGACAGAGAGGGATAACAGCACCACAGGCTGAAATGGAAAGAGGAGGGGTTTCAGAAGATTTCATCTACCAAGAGACGATAGCGAGCATGAGTAAAACTGCTAATGGCACACGCTAGGCTTTCACTGCCCCAAATCTGCAATGGGGTACTTTTATTTACCTCTTCACTGTAGGATTTATTTATTTATTTGGGCGGGGGGGAGGGTCTTTTGTTCTGGCTCAATCATATTCAAAATATAAGCTGGAATAGCCAATTCAAAACCCACGAGGGAGTATGTTTAGGTTTTTGTTTTGTCATGAAAATAATCTCACCAAAAATGTCAGCACCCAAAAATCACTCAATCCGTTCTCGGAGTGAGCAGGTGCTCACCCACCCAGCTGGCTTTCCACCTCAGTAGGTATGTACAAGATGTTTACTATCAATGCAAGGTGGAGAAAAGGGATTAGTTAACTTAAATATCAATTAAATATCCAATTCCAGCATACGTCATAGCTTGATTACTATTTTTCATTGTATACTTATAAAACTTTAATTTCCTCATGCAGTGGGAAGGTTTATTCCGTAAGAAGAGAAGAAGAGTCTCTTTGGGGTATGTCATCTTATTAGAAAGCTTCGTGAACTTTCAACTAGACTCTAAAATAAATATGCCGTGTAGGTTGAGCATATCCAAGGGAAACAAGCTTATCTGATGTCTAATGAGAGTCACCAAAAATACGAATTCTGGAAAAAGAATTCATGATGAGGTGCAATGAATTAGATGCCACACTATTTCAGAACAGAGCGTTTCTAGCAGCTGGTTAACTGCTCCAGACTGGAGGGGCCAGAGTGTGCTGCCTCCCCCTTCCTTCACTTCTTACTGTGGGGGATGCATGGCTCGCAGGCCTGGGAAGTCCCTGCAAACTTGCTGGGCTGAGCCACGGAGTGGAATGTGGTGGCAGGAGGAGGCTGATGTCTTCCTAGACCCTCCTAGAGCCTTACATGATGCCCATAGGCAAAGGGGCATGCTGGCCATGAAAACATAAGAGCAAAAGGAAGCACACCATTCCTTCTCCCTCCCTCCCCTAGACCTGGAACTTGTTTCTGTCCCCTGGATATGATGGCTCACAGTATGTTAGCAGCCAACTTGGGAGACCCAAGGTGAGTCTGACAGCACAAGGAGACAGCCATGGGATGGGGTGGGCCCATTAACTCCCTTTTCTCTGAATCCAAAATACTCTACAGCCAACGATTTCATGAAATCATGTTTATTGTTTTAAAAAGCTTGAGTCTGGAATTAGATAATGGTGACAGTTGTATGAGTTTGTGAACTGATTAGAACCACTGAATTGTAAACTTAAAAACAAAAGCTTGAGTTGTATGAGTCTCACGCACACTGGACTTGTGCCACATGCTCGACTATTCCATTCTCTCAAACCATGGCACTGTCACATTTCTTTCATGAGATTTCCCTAAAAGCAGCTCTTTGCAAAATATTGCACTTAATTTATACCCAGGCAATTTGAAGCTTTCTGGAAGAAAATGTACACTAACAGGCATCTTATGTCTTCAGATAACAGTGGGTGGTGGGAGGAGGGCTAGACAGCAGTTCCCAGAAAATTCTCTCACCTCTTCGTTTCATGTACAGAGAGGAACCCATTTAAAGGAGTAGCTCACTGGGCTGAAGATAGTGAGTGGCATCCCCCAGATAGGCCTGGGACGCTAACTTTTGGATGCTGCTACCTCAGGGGCATGTGGTCACTCGGTTATCCTAGGACTTATCTTCAGTGAGATGCCAGGAGACAGATGGCACCCTTGGCTCAGACACTGCATCTAATTTATCTTATTCC